GTGGAGAATGCCAGAGCTAAGATCCTGTGGGACTTCCAGATCCAGACAGACAAAATGGTGAGGGTGAACCAACCAGACATTGTTGTAGTGGATAAACAACATAGGAAAGCCGTTGTGGTAGATGTAACAATACCAAGCGACTGCAACATAAGGAAAAAGGAGCACGAGAAACTGGAGAAATACCAGAGCCTCAGAGAGGAACTGGAGAGGGCCTGGAAGGTAAAGACCACAGTGGTGCCTGTGGTCATCGGGGCCCTCAGGGCAGTCACCCCCAAACTGGAGCAGTGGCTACAACAGATCCCAGGAACAACATCAGACACCTACACACAGCCAAGATACTGCCAAGATACTGCACAGGACCCTCAACCTCCCAGGCCTCTAGTAGAGGACCCAACCTCAGAGGATAAGAACCACCTGCGGTGGGTGAGAAGGGAATTTTATTTATATATATACAATTCTATATACAGTGTTTCACAAAAGTGAGTACACCTCTGCAGATATTTAAATATATCTTGTCCTGGGACAACACTGACAAAATGACACTTTGACACAATGAAAAGTAGTCTGTGTGCAGCTTATATAACAGTGCTTGTATAACAAAATTATTCTATATACAGCCATTAATGTCTAAACTATCGGCAACAAAAGTTGCCGATAGTCGAAAGTTTCTTAAGTGTCAATATTTTATATGCCCACCATTAGTTACCAAAACAGCCTAAACTTTCCTGGGCATTAAGTTCACCAAAGCTTCACATCATGGTGTTGGCAGATATTTAAGACGTCGCACTCCTCCATCTTCTGCTCGAGGACGTCCCATAGATGCTCCATTGCGTTCAGATCTGGATAGATCTTAACCCAAGATCTAGTGAAGATGATGGTCAACCCATCATCTTCACCCTCTTCAACAAAGCAGTGGTCATCTTAGAGGTGTGTTTGGTGTCATTATCATGCTGGAACACTGGCTTGTGACTCAGTTTCCAGAGGGAGGGGTCTGCTTTAGTATTTCAAGGTACAGATTAGAGTTCATAAAATGTAACTCCCAAACACCTGCAGCATTCATGCAGCCCCAGACTATGGCATTCCCACCATCATGCTTGACTGTAGGCAACACACACTTATATTTGTACTCGTCACCTGAAAGCAGCCACACATGCTGGAGGCCATCTGAACCAAACAAAAGAATCTTGGTCTCATCTAACCTGGTTCCAAAAATTCATGTCCTTTGTTGATATGTCTTGAGCAAATTGTTTGCGGGTTTTCTTGTGTACAGACTTCAGAAGACACATCTTTCTGGGGTTATACCAAGCAGACTAATTTGATGTAGTATGGAGTATGGTCAGAGCACTGACAGGCTGACCTTCCACCTCCATAATCTCTGCAGCAATGCTGACATAACTCTTGCACCTACCTTTCAAAGACAGCATTTGGATGTGACGCTGAGCACATGCCCTCAGCTTCTTTGGACAACCAACGTGATGTCTGTTCTGAGTGGACCCTACTGTTTACAAAGATCTTCCCGACTGCTGCATCTCAGTTCCAGGGTCTTCCTCTTAGCAATCCTCTTTAGCCTTGGCGATCTTCATGTAATACAACAATTAATCTATTAAGATTCTCAGAGAGTTATTTGCCATGAGGTGCCATGTTGGAACTTTCAGTTACCAGTATGAGACAGTTTGAGAGCTGTACTACAAAATCTAACACATCTGCTCTCTATGCACACCTTAGACCTAATAACACTAATTAGTCACATGACACTTTGGAGGGAAAATGACAAGCAGTGCACAGTTTGGACGTTTAGAAATCTAGTCTTTTAAGGTTGTACTTTCTTTTGTTGCCGGTGATTTAGACATTTTAAAGCTAATATACAAAGTTATTTTGAGGGAAGAATAAATTTACACTGTTATATAAGCTGCACACAGACTACTTTTCATTGAGTCAAAGTGTCATCTCGTAAGTGTTGTCCCATGACAAGACATATTTAAATATCTGCAGAAATGTGAGAGGTGTACTCACTTTTGTGAAATGCTGTACATAAAACTGTACATATACATATATATATATTTTACTGCTCAGACTAAGTGCAAGCACTAGAAGTTTTGAGTACAATCATTACAAGTAGAGGTGTGCCGATTGACTGGCCACCGATCATAATCGGCCAATTTCCATAAAAAAGTGTATGATCGATGATCACCGATAACTGTCTCTTGTTGCTGATCACCAAAACCAATCACATTTTTCTCACCTCACAGCCAGCATGTGCAGCTGATCTCCTCTTTCCTTCACACTGTGCAAATGCTTGGCAACCATCCTAAGCAATGTGGTGAGGAACTTCAATGCTCAGAGTCAATGGGGAGGTTTGAGTCTTGCAGCGATAAACTACATCATCAAAGTGCATCAACACAACAAATCTAATATGGGATTGAACAACTTGATGGAGTTTGGCTATTTCAAGGCTCAATGCAGGGAAAAAGGACATCCAGAGCGACAAGACAGAAGGTAAAGCAGCACACAACTACCAACATTCACAAGGATTATCATGACAGTCAGAAAGTTAAAATAGCCCAAAAAAGAAAGACAACAGTTGTGGGCTCTCCTTAAACTAAACAGAAAAGATAGCAGATCAGTGTGTGAATTGCAAAACAGAATTGCCATTTCACAGTACCACATCCTCCTCAGTGCTACAACACGTTGGCAGTAGGGTGTAACTATTCTTCAAATGATTGGAGAACCTCAATTATTAAAATTCCTTGAGGAAGATTTATCTGCCTTGAAGCTTCATTAAATCATGTTTTATTACTTAGCGCACAATGTTCTGGCCGGGTTATTATTTATGTTGGACAGCATCCCTATGAATTGTTGCCAATTGCTAGCAGCATAACATAAAATTTTTAAACTCGGTCTGGGAGAATATTTTAGATTGATAATAATGTCTGGGTTTTTATTATTTTTTGGGGACCAAAAAGCATCCTCAAATTGACTGGTGCGATGCCTGGAGTACAGGCCATCAGCTCCTGTACCATAAGCTCCATCCAGAGCTGATGGTTAAGAGCGAATGGTGGAAAAGAGCGCAGCGGGAGTATTTACACAAGTGAGCAGATAGATTGAACACTGTGAGTGGCTCTTCTGTGGTTGGAACACTACAGAACAGCATAGCTTTATGGAAGAACTGGAAAATAAATTTTATGTCATCTTGGTCGCAACAAATGGGTGATGGAGCATATTGTGGCAGTACATAGCTGATAGATGAGTTTCTCTGTGTGACAAACAAAGATGTTAAATTCCCCACAAAAGCTATAAATGGCTAGGAAAGGTGAGAAGTCATCCATTAAACTGACTGAAGATGAATACATTAATACTTAACTAAGTAGAAATTTCTTATAAACTATTCATGAGCCTGCCTCTTTACTATTAACTTAAATATAATTTCAAATTTTTGTATAACTTTTATTCAGGTATAGAAAGTGAGCTATTATTGTTATGTTAGGGATGCTCAAAAATGAAAAACTGGATTAATGTTGATATCCGATAGTAATACTTCTGTTATGTTAGATTTATGAAATCTAACATATGAAATTAAATGAATATTTTATTTTATCAAAACTTTTTCATCCGATTAATCATAAGAATAATCGATAGAATACTTGGTTACTCAAATATTTGTTTACAATAGCCCAAGTCAGCAACAAATATTAGTTTAATGTGCTGACCTTTTTACCATCTAACTTTGGCACCTTCTCTTTTTTTGCTCACCTGGTGCCTCGGGTACAGTATAAAGCGTGCATATGCACAAAAAGTGTGCAGCACCATATTTTACGCACAAGTTGGTATTTATAAAAATGAACTTTGCATCAAAGTTTGCGTAAATATACGCACAATTTTTTCCTGCTGTGAAAATGTGCGTCAGTCACGTAAGCTTTTTCTGTGAACAATGTCAAACTACAAACTGTCAAAACTTACCTAAATGCACTGAAATCTGACTACATTCAGTGTTTAGAAAAAGAAGCATCAAACCCAATGCTTTTTGTCATGATTTTAGTATTTTATTGTTTAAACAAAAATGATGAAACTGAACTGCATTTACCCTCAGATAATATCACGCTCACAAAACACAGAAAATAAAAATAAAAGGATGTGAAAAATTCACTCAAAAATAAATAGCACTTTTTCTCAGTTTTTGTCTCAAAAATGGAATGCATTGGACTCTGCTGTTCAAACAGGCATCTGAACAGGCTCTTTTTTTATGTACTACTTTTATTTTTGTGAGGTGATTTTATGTGCCCTGAAAGCAACTTTCAAATAAAATATATAATTATTATTATAAACACATACTGCTACAAACAAGAGTATTGCTACTTATACTAATTTACATATGTATTTATGGGTGGCAACAGGGCGGACCAACAAATTGGGATGTATAAAGGATAGATGTGCAGCCACATGCATGTGCACAGCTTTGTACATCCGGATTTTTTTGGGCACCGCACTTTTCTAAATTTGTCCATACGCCAAGTTTCACTGTGAAAACTGCGCACTCATTTATGAATGAAACCCCAGGTGAGCTACTTCCTCCTCTGTTTAGACTTGAATAAGTAGATTAACAGATCTTTGAAGATGTATTCTGGTTTATTTTTATGTGTGCTATATCCTATAAGATATTAAAAATGTGCCACAGAAACCTGAGACTAATCTGATCCTCAAGCTTTTCATTTTGACTTGATTCGTCCCAAACTTGGGTTTGGGTCAAACTCGGCCTTTAAATCTGATGTGTAGGAAACATATGCATGGAGCTCGTTAGTTGCTGCTAAGAGGTGACATTTTTGTTCCCTTTGCAAAAGACTGACTTATCTGTGAGTGTTAGAACCGAATCTGACATTTTATACATGTACAAGAAAATACATCTTGGCAGAGCTAAAATGTATTTCACATTTTTGTTTTTCTATAAACAACAACAACAAAAAAACATAGTTTATGGTTGCAAGCATCTTGTATAATTAACCAACCTCCAGGTTAAAGGTCAGCATAACATCAGATTTGGACAGTATGCCTCCTTCATCCCCTATATCCAAGAAGGAGTTGTTCATAGAGGAGCGCTTAAGCTTCTGTTTGAAGTCTGGACCTCCTTTGGACACAGGCAGACTCTCCAAGTTAGCCATCAGCAAGTTGACAGAAGAGCGCAATTCTTCAATGTACAAAGCCCCCATGTCAGTAGAGACAAACTTTGGGTTTGTCCTTTCCTAGAGTATGTACAGAGAAAAGTTACCTTTAACTTTCTTATTTAACATATAAAAACACCTGCAACCACTAAATTTTTCAAACTATTAGTAAAGTATTTATGAGCAGCAAGTATCAAATGTGTGGCTCATTTTAAGCGCATACTGGCTATAAATTGTTTGACACAATCCTAAAGAAACCAGATCTCACCCTAGCAATCTTTTCAATCAGTTGTAGCCTCCCGTCCAGTTCTCTGCGGATCTGAGCAGCTTGTTCATCCACATTGTCAAGCTGTAAAAAAGCAAACAAAAATGAAACAGAAAAAGAGAAGAGCACTGTCAAAAAGATGAAAAACATCCGTGTTTTAGAAACAAATTTTAAAAAAGTTAAGTTTCTTGTTTGGACATGCGGAAGCCCTGCTGTAACATCTTAAAATATAATTCTTGTTTTACTCAACACTGCCTGTCTTTACTGCTCTACACACCAACAGCTTCAGCGATTAAAATGACTGGTCACGGATTAAGGATAAAATAAATAAAAAATTCTGGACTTTTAAATTAGGATGACACAACTGTAGTGCAAAACATATATTTTAATACATTTTCTTTATTGTTTGCCTTTTGAAGACTATGTAGTAGTGTGTAGGTATTGTTAATGTCTTGCAGTGACACATGAGCGCTAACGTTTGTCTGTCACCTATGTAATGGGCCAGTTTGATGCTACTAAGCTTACAGGAAACTGCCTGCGCTGTAAACAGCCATCCTGCACTGTGAAGAGAGAAGTGTTGATCAAAACAAAGCAGCTGTTGATGTTAATTCAATATCTGGAAGTGTGACCAACACAAACTGGATGGCTGAATTCACTTCCTCTGCTGTCATTGATAAAAATAAAGGCAAGCTTCAATTCTAAAACAGCGCAAAAAACTAATGTCATCGTTCACAACTTCTCCTTCTGTTCACTGATTGGTCTGGTAGAAAGCCCCCATGTCCTTTCCTTGACATGGGGGCTAGGAAAGGAGCCCCCATGTGGATGGATCTAAGTGGATGGAAAAAAAGCCTAGACTGTGCTGCAAGCAAGATTTTTTTTTTTCCAGCAGAATTGCACAGGAAGGTAATAGCCAGGTTAGATTGGAACCAAAATCTGTAATTTTTTATTTGAAATTGTTGTGATTAGTTTCATTTTAGACCCTCTTATTAATTTAAGAGGCTAAGAACACATCAGGGTATGGCAGAGAGGTATTTTGTTTGTCAAATGTCCAATGTGACAGTGTAACATTTTTTAAGAATGATTCTTAAGAAAAAAAAGACAAAATCTTTTTCTTAAGAAAAAAAATCATTTCTTAAGAAATTGCTCTTAGGTTATGGCCTAAGCTCCAAAACCAAAAATATGCCAAGAAAATGTTGTGCATTGTTTCTTCAATGCAATATTTGATCAGATTAAGTGAACTTTCATTTACATTTAAGTTGTAAGAAATATGTAGTTATTTTGTCCATATTTTTGTGGAAAAAAATAAATAAATCATGCATTTAGTTTTCAAACAATGAACTCAAAAGTGTGTTCAAGAAACAAACCACCCACAGCCTTTTTTGGAATAATTTTGGATTTGAATTATAGAATACCATGACAAAAGGTAGCAAAAAAAATTCAAACACTTAACTTTGAGACAGCATCCCTCTGCCAGTCCTCAACAACTGCAGAGCTGTTAAAAATTCAAAAACTTTGTGTTCTTTTCTGATTAAAGTTGCAATATGGCACTTCCATCAATTTTTTTTTCATATTTGTTGACGCTGTCTCTATGTCATGACAGTATGGTATGAGACAGATAATCTGTGAGAAAATTGAACTAGAAACAATCTATCACAGCCTAAGGCAGATCTTGGCGCTGTTGTAGCGCCACTCACCTTCTCCCATTTCCCCCGTTGCTCTCTGCTAATGCTACAAGTTTTCACTTTCATCAGATTCTGTTGTGAATGCTGAGGGATTTCAAGTACGCATGATGATGTGTGTACTCGAAATGTACATGTTGTATTGGCAGACACTTATACTGCATTTTTCCTATGTTATATGTGAAGCAATCTGCAAATGCTACAAGTACATTTTCATCAATATTAAGGAATTATTCATTCAAGGTCCTACATCTTGTGAAAAGTTACTAGTAAATTAGTTTTGTGTAATTTCAAGGGAACTAAGAAATTTGTCCAAGAAACTAAACCAAACAGGTAAGATTTTTTTTTTTTTTTTTTTTTTTTTTTTTGCAGTGGAGGCAGAGATCGATAAGTCAGCCAGTTATCTGTTCAAGTCCTGGTCTATCTGATCCAGCTGCTCATATTTATCTAAAATCTCATCACAGCTGATTTTCCACCTACTCCTGTACTTTTAAACTGACACTTAGAAAAGTATTCAAAACCTTCTAAAGGTACTACAGCTGGTGTCCCTGTTGAGTTATAATTTTTCTATCTTAGCAGATCTTAAACATCACCACTGTCTCAACTTCTCCAAATGATCCTCATCCTAACAGCACTCAGTACCTGTCTCAGTTCTTTCATAATATCCCAGAAGAGTCATCCAAAGTCTTTGCAGGAATGCAAAGCTCCACTTGTCCTCTGTACCCCATTTCATCCCAGCCTATAAAGGATTGTACGCAATGTAAATTAAGCTTGCAGTGGTCATACTACAACCTGCATGACCACAATCCTCCTTAAGTTAGTACCTGCTGAAATATTATTTATTGTAAAAAATAAAAAAATTTTAAAAGGGGGAAGGGGGATTTTTTTTTAAGTATGTGACAATTCAAGTTATTCAATGAAGGCTTCCAGGTGTAAAGGCCATTAGGTATTGATAAGAAAATCAGAAAAGATAACTAAGAGTATTTCAAAACATCAATAATAACAGCAGCCAACAGAAGTGGAATAGTTCAGGTCATTTGAGTGCTCACCAAGGACAGTTTTGATTTACTTTATTATCTATTACTGATTGAAAGGTTAGTGTTACTTTTTTGCATTTCAATAACCTAATACTAGGGACAATGGTGAAGAGACGCAGACGCAGACGGACGGATGGATGGATGACCAAATAACCTGTCAAGATGTGAGTCGTTTATACAAAAAAGGTCATGTCTGAAATCCTTCTTAAATTTTCCACAATTACATTGCAGGCAGATGAGATGCAAATCAAAAACTATGTTACTTGTGTTGCTATGCTATTGTGTCTTTGTAATGAATTGTGCTTAAAAGATCATCTTCAAGACATGCTGATTTTGAAATATTAATCACATTGTCCCTTTGCTACAGTTATTTAATCCACATGTCCATCCAGCTGGCTGACTACAGGATGACACAATGACTACAGATGAGAACCTTTTTACATCTTTTCTGTTCCAAAAAGTCTCTTCATTGTTGAAGAGAACTTTTGTTGAAGAGAACTTTTCTCTTCAACAATGAAGAGAAAAATTTTGTTTTGTTTGTTTTTACTGTTGTAACGACTGTAAGACTCGTTATGGTTCTCCAGCTGCACTAAGGCAGAGAAAAGCACCTCGAGCGGGTTATAAACACCCCCCAGAGACTGACTGGCTGCACTTTTCACCAAGGAGCCCTCAAACCCCAGCCACCACCTCTTCAAACTCCTGACCTCAGGGAGGCGTTTCAGGGCAATGAAGTCAAGGACAAAGACTAAAAAGCTGTTTCTACTTAAGAGCTGTTGTTGCACTGAACACAGCTAATTCAACTAAAATCTGATTATTTTTCTTTAAGGTCCCAAATATTTCTTTTTTTTCTACTATATATTTATATTTACTGAGATAGGTATGTTTATTAATATTTTTCCAATTATTTCAATTGCTTTTGAAAGTTTTTTTATTATTATTTATTTTGTTGTGCTTTCTTTTGTACACAATGACAATATAAGAAATTCTGATTCTGATTCTGAAGTCAGCCAAAAGGCCCTTTCCCCTACAACAGGTTGTCCACCTGCTGATCAAAAGTTATGATTGTAGGCCTAACAGAATAAGCAATTAATAAACTAAACGCATTATAAATTAAAACAAGCTAATTAAATTAAAATGACAATAATTCCAAGTTGAATGATTGTTTTTGTCGTGTTCTGCCTTCCTGCCAGAGAGACTGAATGTCAAAAATGCTTCACTTCAGTGCATTGACTTACATTTCTCATTTTTGCCTTACACAAATTTCCCCGGTCGCTCGGCTGGATAAGGACAAGCACCTGTCTCCTCACCATAGTAGTTCCATCTGAAATTAATGGAGAGGGAGTAGGGCTGCCTCCTGTGTGTTGAGTCCATAAGGAGGCTCAATACACAAAGAACAGCATGAATGCCATAATGTGAAGCAAGCCAGAGCTCATATTCAAGTTAAGGCAAGTAAGCGAATACTTTTGGCAAAATTGCGTATATTATTCTAAAAAAATAAGTAACACAACTTAAAATGAATAGTGTATTTTCGCTAATCGAATCATATAAAATTACTAAAAAAAAAAAAATAAAAAATTGATATCCAGAACAGCGTAATTAGTTTACAATTTTTCACCAGTATTGGCTGCTTTTCTGCCTAAGCCAAATGATTACTACATTTTAAAGAACAAGTTTAAGGAGACTACAAAATATATTTTTATTTATTTATAGTTTATGTAGTTTGGATATTTAAATTGTCTTCCAGTTCTAGAGTTAAATAATCTGTATGAATTAATTTATTGATGTTTGAGAGGATGTACTAGAATCATTGCTGTTTAGATGTTTGATCTTATGAAGAGGTCCTGGGACTGGAATCCTTCTGAATGGAGTTTGCATGACTCCAAGTGTGGGTTCTCTTCAAATAATTCAGCTTCCTCCCACAGTCTGCAAATATGACTATTAAGTTAATTGATCTTACACGTGAGTGTCTTCATGCAGGCAGTCATATTCTTATCAAGTTAAATCATTGTAACAAATTATTAAGTAATTAAAAGGGCTCTGTAGATCTTGACTGCATGATGAGGAGCTAATTCAACCATTTGTTTCAGGTGTTCTGGATGAGAAACACAACTGAAATTTGCAGTTGTGTAAAATGTACATTTACAGCTTAAGTGTGTGAATGCAAATTGGAGTAGCACTTATATGTACATTTGGGTCAATATCTACTAATATATACCCGTTATGGCCAATAACCAATATTCACAAAAATTAACACACCATGGAAAAATGATCACATCACAGATATTGTTTAAGTGCTTCTAACACCCATCAATCTTGAGCTGGTTTGCCATCATTGTCAGATGACCAAACAAACGCCACATGACCAAACCCCTGCACGACCCCTTCCAGAAAACCAAACAGCAACAAAAATTGGTTGTTAATATTAGCCCAGTTTTACTTCTGAGACAATTACTGATATGTTAAAAATTGTAAAAATAAAAAAATAAAAAAAATCAGCTAATAAACATGTTAATGGAGATGACCTCATCCCTAAGGTGAGGTCATCTGCTGACAAAAATCCACTTACCTGACAGGCATTGTATAGCAGCTGGTGCTCAAACTTGTGGATGCCCAGTATCTGCTGGAACATTTCGTACAGTTGCTCTTTACTAAGGATTAGCTCTGAAACAGCACTCAGGTGTGCCCGCTGTGGTTGGCACCACATGTCTTCCTCCCCACAGTAGATGGTATCATATTTGGTAATCCAGGAGCTTAGCACAGTCTCTTTACTCAAGCCATCGATCTCTGGAAGGCTGCGCACACGTCGCTCAATGTTTTTCTTAAAAACCTCACGAAAGTCATTGGCTGAGCACCCACCACTTTGAACCATTCGGGAAACTCTCTCACTCTTCAAAAAACCCTGTTTAGAGAGAGAAAGAACATGTTTAGTTATTTGTTCATATAATCCACTGAAATATCTTCAACATGTCAACATTTTTAAAGGAAAAAAGGGGAAACTCTTTAAGTTTAAGTGCAGTCTGGCATGTTTGCAGCCAAATAAGTCCCATCCACACTGAGGTTATTTTGGTAAGGCTGAAAGATCATCATCAAAAATAGTTCAAGTCAATTCATTACCAACATTTCCATAAGTCTTTCAGCAATCAATGCACCAACTTACTCCCACAGACCCTTTCAGATACTGTGGGAAGAAAGAGTGAAATATTTAAGGTTCTTTTTACCAGAAGAAAATAATGATCTGAAAATACTTTTCATTGCACAAAGTTTATGCCATGTGTCTAACAATCCATGCAATTCCAACAGAAATGAAAACAAATAGGCCCATAAACCGTCATGTCTGGTACAAAGGTCTGAAAACTTTATAATCCCAATAGCTATTCTTGCTCTATGTCCAGCAAACTAAAATTAAGAGATGCATGGCTTGATCTTTAAAAACCAAGTTGGCCTTTCCAACTGTCCCGACCCCATTCAGAGACAGAGCCAAAAAAATAAAATGCACTTCATCCAAACAAGCTAGTGAACCTGAGTTGCCCAGAACGAAACAGTCCCAACCCTCCAACGAGCTCCAACCTTAACTCCAACACCCAGGTTCTAATATACTCCTGCCAACTGTGGGTTTCCACCCTGTGGGGAGCACCTACTTCACCAGTACACCAATGCATTTCCGTCAGTGGCCCATATTAGGGTCTTTCTACCTCTTGATAATCTCATTCTGACATTCAGAAAGTTCATGGTAGCTGAAACAATGAACAGTTGTGCTTTAAAAACAGTTTTAAAGCACAACTGTTTGGAGAAAGGCTGAAGCTCTTGGTCTACTGAATCTGATAATCTTCAGATTAGTCCTCAGACTGCTGCCCTCCATCATCCTGCTTTCTGATTTCTATATGTTCTTTTCCATTCTGTAGAGCACCACAAATGCCAGCCAGTATTACTTATAAAGTGATCAGCAGGAGACCTCCTCCTGCCCTGCTGCTCAATTTAATTGAGACCTTAAAGATCACTAAATTATTTACACAGCAGGAGAAACCAGAGACTAGAGACAGGGAAACAGGGGTCTTTAGGCTTTCATCTGTCAGTTGAAGAAGAAATAAAACTAAAACAATGAGACCAGATATATATATATATATACACACACACACACACACACACACACACACACACACACACACACACACACACACACACACATATATATATTCCTTAGCTCCGGTCCTCTACCAGAGGCCTGGGAGCTTGAGGGTCCTGCGCAGTATCTTGGCTGTGCCAAGGACTGCACATTTCTGGACTGAGATGTCTGATGTTGTTCCTGGGATCTGTTGTAGCCATTGATCCAGTTTGGGGTGACTGCCCCGAGGGCCCCGATGACCACAGGCACCACTATGGTCTTCACCTTCCAGTTCCTCCCTGAGGCCCTGGTATTTCTCCAGTTTCTTATCCTCTGAGCTCGGGTCCTCTACCAGAGGCCTGGGAGCTTGAGTGTTCTGCGCAGTATCTTGGCTGTGCTAAGGACTGCACATTTCTGGACTGAGATGTCTGATGTTGTTCCTGGGATCTGTTGTAGCCACTGCTCCAGTTTGGGGGTTACTGCCCCGAGGGCCCCGATGACCACAGGCACCACTGTGGTCTTCACCTTCCAGGCCCTCTCCAGTTCTTCCCTGAGGCCCTGGTATTTCTCCAGTTTCTCGTGCTCCTTTTTCCTGATGTTGCAATCACTTGGTATTGCTACATCTACCACAACGGCTTTCCTCTGTTGTTTATCCACTACGACAATGTCTGGTTGGTTCGCCACTACCATTTTGTCTGTCTGGATCTGGAAGTCCCACAGGATCTTAGCTCTGGCATTCTCCACCACCTTTGGGGTTTCCCACTTTGATCTTGGGGTTTCCAGTCCATATTCTGCACAGATGTTTCTGTACACTATGCCTGCCACTTGGTTATGTCGTTCCATGTACGCTTTCCCTGCCAGTATCTTGCACCCTGCTGTGATGTGCTGGACTGTCTCAGGGGCCTCCTTGCACAACCTACACCTTGGGTCTTGTCTGGTGTGGTAGATCTGGGCCTCTATTGCTCTGGTGTTTAGGGCCTGTTCCTGGGTGGCCAGGATGAGGGCCTCTGTGCTGTCCTTGAGTCCAGCTTTTTCCAGCCATTGGTAGGATTTACTGATATCAGCCACTTGGGTTATTTTCTGGTGGTACATCCCATGTAGGGGCTTGTCCTCCCATGATGGTATCTCTGGCACCTCAACCTCCGTTCCCTGTTGTCTGAGACATTCACTGAGAACATTGTCTGTTGAGGCTTTGTCCCTGATGTATTTATGGATCTTAGTTGTTTCGTCCTGGATAGTGGTTCTCACACTCACTAGTCCTCTGCCTCCTTCCTTGCGGCTCGTGTACAGTCTGAGGGTGCTGGATTTGAGATGGAACCCTCCATGCATGGTTAGTAGCTTTCTAGTCTTAATATCTGTGGCTTTTATTTCCTCCTTTGGCCAGCTAATTATTCCAGCAGGGTATCTGATTACTGGCAGGGCATAGCTGTTTATCGCACGGATTTTGTTCTTGCCATTGAGCTGGCTTCTCAGGACTTGCCTTATTCGTTGGAGGTATTTAGCTGTGGCTCCTTTCCTGGTGGCCTCATCGAGGTTGCCATTTGCTTGTGGTATACCTAGGTACTTGTAACTGTCCTCTATGTCGGCTAATGTTCCTTGTGGGAGTGAGACTCCTTCTGCGCGGATCACCTTCCCCCTCTTTGTGATCAGCCGACCACACTTCTCTAGTCCGAATGACATCCCAATGTCCGTGCTGTAGATCCTGGTGGTGTGGATCAGTGAGTCGATGTCTCGCTCACTCTTGGCGTACAGCTTGATGTCATCCATGTAGAGAAGGTGACTGATGTTGGCCCCATTTTTGAGTCGGTATCCGTAGCCAGTCTTGTTGATAATTTGGCTGAGGGGGTTCAGGCCTATGCAGAACAGTAGCGGGGACAGAGCATCTCCTTGGTATATGCCACATTTGATGGACACTTGTGCAAGTGGTTTGCAGTTGGCTTCAAGGGTGGTTTTCCACAGCCTCATCGAGTTTGCAATGAAGGCTCTCAGAATTCTGTTGATGTTATACATCTCTAGGCATTCAATGATCCAAGTATGCGGCATTGAGTCATAGGCTTTCTTGTAATCAATCCAGGCAATGCACAGTTTGGTGTGTCGGGTTTTGCAGTCTCGGGCAACTGTGCGGTCTACGAGGAGTTGGTGTTTGGCTCCTCTGCTATTTACACCGATACCTTTCTGTGCCATGCTCATGTGTTTATCCATGTGTTTGCTTATCTTGGCCGCTATGATGCCTGACATGAGCTTCCAGGTTGTGGAGAGGCAGGTTATTGTTCGGTAGTTGGGTGGGACTGGACCCTTTGATGGATCCTTCTGGATTAGGATTGTTCGCCCTTCAGTTAACCATTCAGGGTGAGTCCCACTTTGCAGCAGCTGGTTCATTTTGGCTGCCAGTTGTCATGGAGAGCAGTGAGTTTCTTTAGCCAGTAGGCATGGATCATGTCAGGCCCTGGTGCTGTCCAGCTTTTCATACCTGAGACTCTTTCTTGAACATCTGTCACAGTGATGGTTACCGGGGCTTGCTCAGGGAGGTTGCTGTGGTCCTCTCGTAGAGAGATCAGCCACTGTGCATTGTTGTTGTGGGACGCCTCCCTTTCCCATATGCCTTTCCAGTATTGTTCAGTCTCCAGCCTTGGTGGGTCTCCTCTGTTGTTATTACCCTGCCATTGAAGGTACACCTTAGCTGGTTGAGTGGAGAAGACCCGGTTAACCCTTCTGGATTCATTCTCCCTTGTGTATCTCTTCAGTCGGCTGGCCAAGGCTTGGAGCCTCTGTTTGGCAGTTTCAAGTGCTTCAGATATGGGCATCTGCCTGTACTTTCTGGGTACTGGTCTTTTTATTGTACCCTTCTGGAGCTCTGACAGTTGGCTCACTTCCCTTCTTGTTACCTTGATTTTAGCCTCTAACCGTCTTTTCCATGGTGGGTATTGGGTCTCATGGTTGCTCTTATAGCCAAGTATCTCAAGGATCACTGATGCTGAGTTGTAGATCAGCTCATTGGTTTCTGTTATATATATATATATATATATATATATATATATATATATATATATATATATATATATAGTTGGGCAAAAAAGTATTTAGTCAGCCACCAATTGTGTAAGTTCTCCCACTTAAAAAGATGAGAGAGGCCTGTAATTGTCATCATAGATATACATCAACTATGAGAGACAAAAGAAGAAGAAAAAAATTCAGAAAATCACATTGTCTAATTTTTAAAGAATTTATTTGCAAAATATGGTGGAAAATAAGTATTTGGTCGATAACAAAAGTTCATCTCAGTACTTTGTTTTATACCCTTTGTTGGTAATGACCGAGATCAAACTTTTCTTGTAAGTCTTCACAAGGTTTTCACACTCTGTTGCTGGTATTTTGGTCCATTCCTCCATGCAGATCTACTCTAGAGCAGTGATGTTCTGGGGCTGTCACTGGGAAACACAGACTTTCAACTCCCTCCAAATATTTTCTATGGGATTGTGATCTGGAAACTGGGTAGGCCACTCCAGGACCTTGAAATGCTTCTTACGAAGCCACTCCTTTGTTACCCGGGCGGTGTGTTTGGGATCATTGTCATGCTGAAAGACCCAGCCACTTTTCATCTTCAATGTCCTTACTCGTAGAAGGAGGTTTTCTCTCAAAATGTGACAATACATGGCCCCATTCGTTCTTTCCTTTACACGGATCAGTCGTCCTGGTCCCTTAGCAGAAAAACAGCCCCAAAGCATGATGTTTCCACCCCCATGCTTCACATTAGGTATGGTGTTCTTTAGATGCAACTCAGCATCCTTTGTCCTCCA